CCAACGCCTGGAATATTACCCTGTGTGGGCAGGTGACGTCCCACACATTCATTTTTTGGGAGGTGGTGGCTGGAAGTCTCCGTGTCCCATCCCCACACAGACCACAGAGCGTGCTGGGCTGACTCATGGGCAGGAGAAGGGTGAGAGAGGATGGGGAAGAGACATGAGGAACCGGGACACCTGCTTCCATCTCCATAACCAAGGGCTGCGGGGGGAGAGAACGTCTCTGGCAGCTACACCAGGTAATAAAACCTGGGAAGATGCAAGCTCTAGGGGTTTCCCTGGCTGAGGGGAATAAAGAAAAAGAAGGGGGAAAAAAAAAAAACCAACCCAAAACTACCTTTTACTCATCTCTTCTGCAAGTGGATGTTCGTAGCATCGCGCTTCCCCGCCTCTGGCTCAGTTCTGTGCTTGTCTTGAATCCTCAGCATCATCTATTATCCAAGGAGCGTGAACTCCAGCACAGGACTCTGTTCTAACAACCATCTTCACTGCCACCCTCTCCATTTTTCCAACAATGTAACAATTATTTGTATGCATTTCCTTGTAGTTTCATGGGACTGATTTCTAGGAATAAGAACCTATTGGGCTTTGTATTTTCATTTAATGATGTAGACATTTGCAATACTTTCTAGTCCCAGCTTGATGGAAAACCACCTGGCAGTGGTCTGGAACCACTTTTTGAACTTAATTGAATTTTCATATACTGACTTTCAATACCTTAAACCTAAAATTTACTCCAAAGTATGTGAAAAGTTGGAAAGGTTTTGGGCTTTTTCCCCCTTTTCTTTCTGTTCCTAGAATGTGAAAACTCTTGTAGTGCAATCTACAGCCAAGGTGTTACAAGTAATAGAACTCAAGCACCAAAACAGAAACATCCCTTCTTCAGTTCCCTTGTCAGATTAAATAATTCAGGTTTGAAATAATTCCAGGGATGTTGTAGCCAAGAGGCTACAACACAATCATCTAATCTAACGCCTCACAGCATCTGAACATCAGGTATAAAACAAGTACACAGTAATGCAGGATAGCCAGTTTTTACAAATATTTTTTCATATAGTTGATTACATGTGGAAAACTATTCATACATAAGCATCTAACTGTTAATATTTGATAAGGAACTTTAAACCTAAACTAAGAAAAGAAATTATCCTATTATCCTGACATTTAATAATAAAACATTTGAAATAGAACAGTACTTCAAAATACTGAGTTTTACTACTGAGTTTGTAAACAAACTGGGTTTTTACAAGTTTTTGGTTTGTTTGGTTGGGTTTTTTTAATACAGCATCTCAGATGGCGTGTGGACACAGCCTCCCAGCATCCAGGGAGCAGCATGCTGAGCTTCCCAGCTCAGAATCCTCCACATGATTTTACAAGTTTTTGGTTTGTTTGTTTGTTTGTTTTTAATACAACATCTCAGATGGCGTGTGGACACAGCCTCCCAGCATCCAGGAACCAGTGTGCTGAGCTTCCCAGCTCAGAATCCTCCACACTGGTTTTCACACTCCTCGGAGGTGCCAGTTCCCAGTTTACTGCAACGTGACCATTTAACCAGAAAAATTGAGATCGCCCCGGGTCACTTACCTGCCAAAAAGCTGCCTTCCACATTCTTTTTTCTTACAGGAAATGAAATTGCTGGTTTTCCTGAACACCCCGCAGCAGCTGGTAACGTCTCTCGGGAATTAATCAACCAAATCTGCAGAATTTCTATGCAAAATGGGGTGGGGGGGAGGAACAGGGACTGCACTAATGCCACAGGTGGAAGAAGGGACTGAGAAATGGCAAAGATGCCTCCACCCGGGCGCCGACACCGCCCTCTAGCCATTCAGGCAAGCTCTTGCAACCCTTCCTGACCTGCTAAAAATTTATTTAATGGCATTTAAATGACATTTGCAGCAGGTTGCAATCACAGCTGTCGTTCTCACAGGTTGTGGGAAGCAGACAACACTACACACAGCTCCCAGCTTCTGGGACGGGACTGCAGGTGCCCTCCACCCTTCCTATAATTAACTGAGCTGTTATTAACTTGCAAAAGAACCCCAAAAAACCACCCTAAAAATACTCAAAACCCTAAACCGTAACACAAACCAGTCATACCCAGAACGATAGCCCGTTCCAGCACCTAAAGGGGCTACAGGACAGATGGGGAGGGACTCTTATCAGAGAGTGGAGTGACAGGAGGGGTAATGGTTTTTAAGTGAAAGAGGGGAGATTTAGAATAGATATTGGGAAGAAATTCTTTGCTGTGAGGGTGGTGAGACCCTGTCCCAGGTTGCCCAGAGAAGCTGTGGCTGCCCCATCCCTGGAGGGGTTCAAGGCCAGGCTGGATGGGGCTTGGAGCAACCTGGTCTGGTGGGAGGTGTCCCTGCCCAGGGCAGGGGGTTTGGAACTGTATGATCTTTAACGTCCTTTCCAACCCAAACCATTCTATGATTCTGTGAAAAGACAGTGCATTCGATTTTTATCCTTTTCCCTCTGCATCTTCAGTCTGAAACTGGATTCTCTATACTCTTTGTGGAAGGGTATTTTTGAAAGGGTGGTAATTTTTTTAAGCAACCTTTTGGAGCCTGCGCTGCTCAAGAGACATCAGACTTGACATGATGGCTTTCTGCTCCACTGCACACATCTTCCAAGTTATTTGGCAACTGGAGCATTAACTTTGCAGAAGTTAAGAACCACCTGGTTTCCAATCCCACCATTTGCTCTGCCATGCAATGCATTTCTTCTCTCATCCTGTGGCTGCACAGGTTAAACAGAAAATCATAGAATGGTTTGAGTTGGAAGGGACCTTAAAGATCATCAAGTTCCAATCCCCTTGCCCTGGGCAGGGACACCTCCCACTTTGCCCCAAAATAAGAACAGAAGTAAGAAAAAGGTGAGCGCACACCACTGTCTTGGAGACTTCTTTTAATTAAAGGTAAAAATATTTAAAATGTACATTATTTACAAGTAGTTTAGCTACAAATTTCAGGGCAGAACCAAAGCGTGCTCAGGAAACCCACGGTGGATAATTAAATTTCTAAAGCCAGGAAGACTTGGCATTAGCCATTAGAAAATACTTCCCAGGGGTAAAGAGGTGGTAGAAAAAAAAATTGCCTGATGGGATTGTGGAGTCTTTAGACAAGCGCGTAGGAGGAACGATGCAGTTCTGGAGAGAAGAATGAAGCACAGACCCCTGGAGGTCCAGCCTAGCCCCATGACTGCATCCATTTGGAGAATATAGAAATCATATTAATAAACAAGCACTTTATAGTTAAAGGACTAGATTTTTTAAAATCACACTAAGGAAATCGGTGCAGGTCCCTGATTTTACAAGAGGAAAGGTGCTCTGTGTTTGGTTTGTTGTTTTGGTTTTGTTTTTTTAAGACATGCTGAAGCTATTAATTGAACCAAATACAATAAGTCTTATTTATTAATACTAAACTGTTTACTTGGCACAACTTCAGAGCAACTGGTTATTTCTAGCCTTGAGAAAAACAGCTCTTCTCATGCAAGTTGCTTTTCCTGCAGTGTTAACCAGTGAAGGGCTGCTTACATAGATGCAGGTCCATCCCAAGCAAGAGGGGCACCAGAAGATGTCTTGTTTCCACAGATGTTGGTAAATTCAGCAAGAATTATTTTTTTAAACTACATTATTGACTTATGTGGGAAAAAAAAAAAAACAAAACCAAAAACATCTGATGCTTCTGTGGCAGCATGGAGTATTATCACAGAACTTCATTGTTAATTGCTGATTTGATAATAAAGTGTTAGGATCTCCGTGCAAAGAACTAAAGAACTTTAGAAATGTTGTCATGTATTAGGCTGAAGTGATTTGACATGATTTCTCTCACACAGGATGTCATGTTTTGAGAGTCTTAGATTCCACCCTCTCCCAAATTATCTTTTAGGAGATGGGAAAGGAGGAATGTGAGCAGCTATGACAAGAGTAAAAGTCACCCCAAACAGCTTGAAGGGGTGAAACCTTCTACGTGTGCCATAGAGGACACCTGATACGGCTGTAAAAGGCAGGAATATGAAATGATGTCAAACCTGTAAATGTCAATTCTGCCTCAAGGTGCTATGCATGAATATCCAGAAGCTTAAACAAACTACTTCTTCATCGCAAGAATATGAATTTATTAAACTAATTTAGTCGTTAAGTGAAAAAGCATAGATAGATACCACCTGACACCTTCCCAACCACCTGGCTCAGGTATTTGGCATTAGGCTAGGGCACAAGCAAGGCTGTATCTATATCAGAACACCTTGTTTGGAGGCTCTCAACACCACTGCCAGCAGCTGCAGGAAACAAGACTGGGGGAAATCGGGCTTATTGACTCAGGGAACTCATCCTCATCTCACTCTGGCCTCACATTTTCACCTGGTCATAGCTCCTAAGAGAAACCAGTGCTTTGCGCGCTCTTAAACTTCTTGATTTCACAGTTATAAAACCTGCACGTTGGCCTAAGCAATTTAAACACCTGAACTATCTATCCCAGTGCTACTGGATACACAGCAGACGGAAGACATACCTGCAAGAAGGGTGATAATTCAGTGGCTTTTGTAATTACAAAGTAGAAATATTCACACACACACACACAAAAAATACATTTAACTTCGTGGTAGTTACAAAAAAGAGGTCACTTGTGCACGTATCTATCTATTGGTATGTTGTATCACAGAATCTTCTAGGTTGGAAGGGACCTTAAAGATCATCTTGTCCAACCGTCAACCTAACTGACAAAAATAGACACCCACACAACAAACAAGGAGCATCACCATCACTAAACCATACCTCCCAGCACTACATCAACCTTTTGAACATTTGAACTACATTTGTCTTTTGAACACCTCCAGGGATGGTGCCTCAACCACCTCCCTGGGCAGCCCATTCCAATGTCTGATAACCCTTTTGGTGAAAAAATTTTTCCTAATATCCAGCCTGAACCTCCCCTGGCGTAACTTGAGGCCATTTCCTCTTGTCCTGTTGCCTGTGACTTGAGAAAAGAGACCGACCTTTAAAATCACTTTCTATGACACGTAAACATTTCTGAAAATCCTACAGAAAATATCTTTCAAAAGAGACATAATTCTGTATAAATGCAGCACCTTGTATCTGCCAAACACCCTTTTTGCCCTGAACTAAGCTTCATTAAGAACATTTCCCCCGAACAGGAAACACTCATGAATTCCTGACTAAAGGGAAATAACTGGATTGCAGGCATCAGACTCAAAAGTTTTTAAATATGAAGAAAAAAAAAAGGAATAAGAATTCCTTCAGTTTTCAAAACTATGATCTCATGCTACAAAACTCAGAGGGCTGTCAAATGACAGCTCCGGTGCCGAGACATCCGTAGCAGAGCCAGGTGATAGTAGTGAAAAGGGGCTTTTCTGAGGCAGGGAAAGGCCAGGGCAGTGCAGGGACCTGCAAGAAAGGCAAGGAAAACTGGAAAACTCAAGAAGGGAGCTCAGCCATGGCTCTACCTAGCAGAAAGCTATGTCTTCTGCACCAGTGTCTGGGATACCAGACAAGAACACGGGAAGGATGCACAGAGTGCACCATCAGCGTCACCTTCTTGCCTTTAGTTTTGAAAAAAATATTCAGATACCACAGAGATATGGCTAACAAGTCCCTACTGAACAACCATCAGGCTTCGTTTCATCTTGCAGTCCTGACTTCATGATATTCTCAAACAAGACAATACTACCAAGGTCAGGGAAGAAGGAAGGGGAGGAGGTGCTCCAGGTGCCAGGCATATTCTTAAAAGAAACAGTAGCATTTCATTTAAAACAAAAATACCTCCAATTAAGGCAAAACCTCTCAAATATTTCTCTATTGTAAACAAGTGGAGGATTTCATAAGCATAATGTTCCTTTTCAAAATAATTTCAATGATTTGAAACAGAAGGCGATAACGATACAGCTGCTGTTTTATACTCCTTCATGAAGTCCATTCTGTGATTCAGCACAGACTATTGTTCAAAAAACAGAGCGTTATTTCAAATAGGAAATAGTGATTTACATCATATGCATGAACAGTTCTAAAAGTAGTTATTATGAACTTTCCCCTCCCATTTTAGGCCGTTCTTTGGCACCACTTTCAGTTCCACTTCAGGATCCCACAGTACTAAGTTGTGTACTGCTTAGTCTGGTTGGATCAGAAGAAGTACAACTTGTGGATGTTCCTAATAAAGCCCAGACTTTCCATCATCTTCAGTAATGCTGTTCTCTTCCTGAGTGCTGGCTAAATGCTTCAACCTCTCCTTGTTAGTCTGCTGACCTATAAGCAATCACAGGCTGCTCTTCACCAACATCTATCAACATGTCTAACGGCACATGAGGCTTGTCGTAGCCAGAAAACTTGAGAGAGCTGCTTGGAATGACTGTTTGTTGTATTTCTTTGTCAGAAACCTCTGGACCTGAAGAGTTACTGCACACATCCATTTGGCTGCTGTCAGAAATGAAATAACTCTCCTTGACTTCGCGATTCTGTTCATCGTCAGAAGGTACCTCCTCTGTGCTTTCCTGCACGGACATCTCTTCTGCTTTGGCTGGTGCCTCTTGGGGAGGAAGAAAAGATGCTCTTCCACTGGAATTCTCACAACTACCAGTTTCTTCCTGTGGCTCTACCTCCAGAGAGGTCACTTCATCGTTATTCACTGGCACTGCTGACTGGAATGGCACGAAGCTTATTACAGATATGTACCTCGCCTCCGATTTTGATTCTAGAATGCTCTCTGTGTTCAGGTTTCTTATCACACTGACCTTAAATGAAAAAAAAAAAAACAAAAAAGAGATTAAAAAAAAAAATCACTTTTTGTTCCGCATAATCTACTAATTTACTGGCTTTATCTTCTGTCAAAGTTTAGTGGTTAAAAAAGAAAAAGATACAAGTTCATAATACAAATTTAATGTTCTTACAACCAATCCCAACAGAAGTGAGCAAAACTACAAACTGGCAAGGTTGTTAGCCTATATCTATGACTTCAATTGTTTCGTTAAGACTTTTATGCAAGCTCTCAAAAACACTTTCTAGGTGCAAACACACGTGCAAGGACCAAATCCATCTCCTATCGCCCACTGTATTTTAAGTTATTTGAAGTTTGCAACATTGAGGAAAACAGCAAAGGAAGGAAAAAAAGTTGTGATGCTCTTCAACCAGCTGGGCCACTCTTTGCTCTCTATAGTGAAGGAGTGTAACTTGCAATGACTGCCAGACTGTGTTAATCTGGGAATTAAGAACTGAGAGAGGCATCAAAACCAGCTGATCAAATCTGACCATGCTTTTTCAGGAATCTTCCTTGATGAGAAGGACGTGAGGCTGTATCTCTCCATTCATACCTTCAGAGTGTGCTGACTGAAAAGCTTGCCTTCATCTCTCACCTCAGCTCTAGACCTTTCCCCTCAAGCTGCCCCGATATCTGTCGATGGCAACGTGGTTTATGCCGGATCAATAAAACTATTGGCAGTTTGAAAAACAAAAGAAACCACACCCCAACAACCACCACCACCACCACAAAGCAAACACTCCTTCCCTAGAGGCCAGTTATTTGTAAACTGAGTGAGTTTTACAAACAGCTGTGCTAGCACCACTAAGGTGAGGGGATCCCCTTGAGAATCAAGGACTGCCACCAGAAAATTAGTAAAAAGAGAGCATGAAGGTGGCTCCTGACATCAAGAATATACCATGCTCCAGCCCAGCTGCCATTCAGCCATCCTCCTCTCTGGATGTTCATTTTGTGTTATGTGGAAACAGTCACAACACTATATAAGAATATTCTTGGTCATTTTCATGAGTACCCATGAAAACCACATCTTCCTAAGAAGCAAACGCTTCAAAAATAGTTGCAGAAACCAGAATACAATCAATAATCCGTACATATTGAAAATATTATAAATAGCTGGTAGGATTAATGTACCTTTTGAGAACCCGTTTATACAGATACATTAAAAAATATCAGATGCTTATGCTATACCAACAAGTCAAAACCCAAAACCAAGATGATCTTGTTTCTAGCCTTTTAGGATTTTCACGTGGCTCTAAAAATCATAGTGTTAAAATGCATTAAGGGAACACCTTGTACTCTCCCCAAGTGCTGCATTTGGCAGTGCCAGCTCGCAATGCTTAGGCTACACCCAAGTATAAAATAAATACTCTCTATACAATTACATCCAAGACCTTTGTTCTTCACAAAGGACACGTGTTTTCCTCATGGTGAGTTTTTGACTGAAGCAAGGTGGTGCAAAGACACTCCCATTCCCATCCACGAAAGAAGGAAGCCACCAGAAGAAAAAAAAAAAACTCTTGTGGGTTTCCTGGTATCATTTGTTCTTTAAGAGTCACTGAGTCATAACTACAAGACAATTTAGCAACTCATGCAATTATTCCTAACTCGAAAGAGAAGAACCACAGCTTACTACACTAACTGAAATGCCATTCAAACCATCTCAAGTAACAAGGGTAATTAAGATATTGTAGCTATCTGGAGAAAGTATTTACCGTAGGTAAGCTGATATTCTCCTTTTGTGCACGTTATCTAATGCTAGTAAAGTGACATGAGCTTAACCTGGATGTCAGCAGTATTTCCTGGCGTGTGCAGGTGCTCAGGTGTCTTCCCATCTCCAGTGACAGCACCTGAGCTTTCAGGTCTTTTGCTGTCTCAACAGACAAAGGAGATGAAGAAGTGGAAGCCAGGCTCAAGGATACACATAAATAACATATCCCAAGGAATCCGTCACAATTGAGGTAATCAACAGGTTCTTTCTTAACTTTCTTTCTTTGTCCACCTGCAAATTCCCAGTGATTTTCAGGTACACTTTTTTCTGGAGAAGAGTTTTAGAAGTCCATTTTGGATCTTATTAGGACTTTGAAAAAAATCTGCATGGCTTTTGCATGATTCCACAATAAATTAATGCTGTGTAAATATATAAATAGAAGATGGCATTACCACCCTACAGACACTCACAGGAAAAAAAAAAAATTCACTAAAGCTAATGAACCAGCTTCTCTCTTGTAAGACAACAATTATTCGTGGCAAATATCAGTTAAAATTTACAGAAACAATTATAATTTATCCAAATCAAAAATATATGTTGTAGAACCAAAAAAGCCAGAGTCACAAAGATAATTCTTAAGTGTTTTGTGAATATCCCTAGATGTTCTACAAATACAGTGAGAGAACAAAACCTTCTCACTGCTGTCAGGCTCAGAGAAAGCACCAGCAGAAAAGCTGACTTAAGTCTGAGCTACAAATCAAAATTGATGCTTTTCAATGAATCTTTCTCTTTAGTGGGTTTTTTCTACCCGCTAGAGTATTTGCCAGCATTTAAAAAATAAGAGAGACTGGACAAAAAAGACAGTGAAGTTAAAGCAGAGGGAGATGCCCAGAGACTATCAGCAAATTAAGGCCAGGCTCCTTCTGAAGCAGACAAACCCTTACCACAAATCTTACCACAAAAATCTAGTACAGGACAAATCACACACAGGACAAACTGGAAAGACTGAAGATGGTGGGTGGAAGGAGACAGCCTCTTGAAATACTTTTTGTGAGATAAATGAAAGAAAACAAATGGCTCTAACTACAGCTGGACTGTCGAAACATCCGATTCCTGCGATCCAGCAGAAGACTAGCGTGATGAAATCTTGTAAAGGAATCTGCCCCATTTCACTAGAGGCATATTCCTGATAGGATCTATGAATAAGGATGTTTAAAACATGTAAACATTTTCTCTAATGAAAATAATCCCACACAGAAGTTCTTGAGATCTAAATGGCAATGGATTTTTTTTTTTCCCTTTTCTCTGGGTACATGAGACTCTCAAAGGCAGCTGCTCGATGATGACTCTTTCTTATTTTTACTTCTGTTGGAGAATTCCAACTTGCTCAAAGTCCCTCAAATGATGTTTTAGCATCTGACTAAAGGCACCACGAAGCAGATCAGTGGAAGGCAGCAGCCCTAAGGCAGGACACCTTGCACAGCCCATTAACAGATGGAAAAGCTCCCCAGATGTTTCCCTTTCAGACAAGCTCAGTTAAAGTGCAAGTGTCATAATCTGCATGGAAAAAAATGTCTTGCACACATTCAAAGGTCGATGACGGGCTCTTAGCTCCAAGAAGTCTACAGGGATAAGTTTAATGATATGACGTTATTATACAGAATATTTACATTGCTTATCAATTACTTAAAATGAGTAATGATCAAACAATGAGTAATCATGTTATTAATTATTCATTTTCCATTCCCTCATTATTCATATCGCCTGTTTTGAAACTATCGCCGTGAGCTTTGCAATTTGTATTTGTCACTAGAGACTTCAATGGAAATGAACAGAACCACACAATATCCTGAGCTGGAAGGGACTCACGAGGACCACAGTCCAACTCCTGACTCCACTCAGGGCAACCTAAAAGTTAAACCAAATGCTTCTTGAACATTTACAGGCTCGGGGTCACGACCACTTCCCTGGGGAACTTGTCTAAGTGCTTGATCACCCAGGGAACAATCTTTATAAATAGTTATAGGTTTCATTCAGCTCCTTAGCAACAAATTACGTGGTGGAATGTGAGCCAGACCGTGGTCTGCTGGAGGGTAGGAAACACAAAATAACATATAACCCCGTAAACTGAGAATGTGGGCACGCAAATGAGTTTCTACAAAGGTGACCTAAAGTGGGAACTTGGAGCACTTATCAGGAAGCCCACAGGAGTTAAGGAGCACAATTCTATTTGTGTGATATTCTTTTTCCTGATCCCTTAGAAGCGACACCACAGTAGAACTGGGAAGCCAGTGTAAACTGGGCATAGCACTGTCATTCTGGATGAGCTCTCTCTTACTGTAACGAACAGTCTTCACCAAAATGACTTCATGTCATGTAGGACATAATGGTATGGATTCAGACAGTTACACACTGGTGTGAAGATGAAAAAAAAATCTCCAGCGTCTCCCTTTTTCTACAGGACTCTGTGTTTTGATATTGGGGTCCAGCTGCAAATTCCATCAGACAGATTTTTCTCATCTGATTTTTTGAAGTCTCCACTGTGAATGGCTACCTCTGAACTAGTGTCACGGGTCAGTCACAGTCCATGAAAAGAAACAAGCATTTTAGAGAGTCTGACCAGAAGTCCATATTGTTTTAGAATAAAATTAATCATCTTGTGCTGCACGAATTGATGGACTAGATTACTGCTTACTACAAAGGGACCCAGCTAGCATCACTGGCTTGGATATTGCCACTTCGTTGAAATAATCTCACTTAGGAAGTGAGATTATTTCTTCTTCATTCACTTCTGTTCCAAAGAAAGAAGCCTCCAGGGGGATCTTAAGCCTTGAACTACCCCTGCGCTACAAAGGAGTCACTTCAAAGGGGTTTGAAGTTGAAGAAAACGGAACTGAAGACTTCTAGAGAGAAGAGGCAGTGATCTTATGAGACTTCCTACATCTGCGGAGAAGACACACTCTTGACATGATCACCATTTACTACTGCCTCACAGGGCAGCTCTTGAAAGCTATTTCAACTCCTGGTGACTGTTCAGTGGCTGTGACTAAGGAGACACTGTGAGGACATTGTAATGGTATGTGTCAGATACTCTGCCTCTTGTCTGATGTGAATGCAGGGAGTGCTGCTGCTCTTTAAGGAACCTCCACTCTGTTTCCTTAAGATGGCCACAGAGAGCTTTTAAGGTACAGCAGCTGCTGACCCCTCTTCCCTGTGACTGCTCAGCGTGAGACCAGATTTCTTCTGGTTGTTCTTCTCTTTTCTCACAGCACTATTGCTGCCCCCCTCCCCTTACTCTGCACACCTCTTTCAGAAGGTTGTAGCACTTAGCACCATCACAGTATTACCATGGCATGAAGGAAACTTACAGACTTCCAGTGACAGGACAAGAGGAAATAAAATTCCATATGTTTCAGTTTGTATCTGAATGTAAGAAAACAATTTTCCCTGTGAGGGTGGTTAAATGCTGGAAGAGGTTGCCCAGAACAGCTGTGTAATCTCATTCCTTGGAGATACTCAAAACCCAACTAACAAAGTCCTGGGCAATCCGCTCTCACTGACCCCATTTGAGCAAAAGGCTTGGACTAAACGATCTCAAAAAGTCTCTTCTAACCTCAGTGACTCTGTGTTTCTGTGTCTCTGCTACTAGAATGACTTCAAACCTGTCCATCTACACACACTTGAGTTTTTAAGAACTAAGCTCTCAAACTAGACCAACTACTGCTACTTCAGTTATAAAAAGACTGAAGTCTAGCCCTATAAAACAAATACAAGGCATCTGGTTGCAGAGGCTGTCAGAATATTAGACTGGTATAAATCCTAAACATCTACAAGACCATAGTAAAAAAGAAAAAACAAATTAAAAAAAGAGACAGTCAAAGATGTTATAGATATAAAAGTTACCTATTTGGATATTAAAAATCTGATGCAGATAAGAAGTCTGAACTTACCAAAGACTTAGGCAGCATTATGTTCTTCTTCTTTAGTTTCCTCCAGCTATAACACATTGCCAACATCATACTCAGGCTGAGAGTAACAGCACATAAAATGATGATATATTGTGTGCCTAAGTGAGAGCAAAATTTGTTAGGAAGTTTGGAAAAATAAACCACTGATGTATCATTTAGAATAACTTCAAATACTGTAATAGCTTGGAATGCTTAGCTCTAATGTGTGAGCTGGTCAATTTACCACCTTTTTTTCACTCAAGATAATTTATAAATAAAAATTAGAATACAGAAGATTTTCAACTTATATAAACAAAACAATGTTTTTATAGAGGTAAAAGAATTGTATAACTTATTTGTTTTGTTCCTTACAGATGAAATATGGGGATAAACAGATTTGTATGTTTTCCATGTGATAGCATATTACCTGACGTAATAATTATACATACTCTATGTATAATAAAATTAAACTCTGAAATCTTCCAAAACAGAATTGTTAACTATTACTTGAAAGATTCCACTAGCCTGACTCTCCTTAATGTCCTCCCCCTCAATCACACCACTGTTCTTGTGCACAAAAGAACAGACACAACTGCTTCTATCTATTTTATCTCTTTTCTCTTGAGAAGTTTTGTGCTACAATGAAGTAACATTAAAAAGTCTGTAAGAGGTTATCATCAATACAAAGTTGGGTGACTACCTGCCTCTATTCTCTTTAATTAAGAAAAAGATGTCAATACCTCAACTTTACAACCACAAGTTTATAGTTGCTTTAAACTCAAGGAAGTCTATATACGTTTTCCTCAGTGATGAGACAGAGCAAAAAGCCATTTGTTAGAAGAGAGACGATGCTTCTGAAAACCATGTAACTCGGTGAATGATCCATTTGTCATTTGTTAATTACACCAACGATCAGGTGCAATGGAAACAGGTTTTCTAATACCAATGAAGCAGGACAAGCGCCCCCTGCCCCCACGAAAGTCAGGATTACTTGAAAATAATACATGATCTTTAAAGGTCTTTAGATCGGGGAAAATACAGTTGGAAAAGAATGACTATGCTTTCCCTTCTTTCATATTCTCCCATAGGCATCCAAGTCATCCCATGGCTATACCAGAACTCGAATACGTAACAGAACAGATCCCTGGTCAGGCTCAGTATGTTCTTTAACTCAAGTTTAAGAATCCTCTTACTCGATGGCTGCTCCTTGAGAGGAACATGGATGCAGCTTTCTTCCGAGGGGTCACCAAACATCAGATCGTTATAGAAACTTTCATTTGCCGAAACACAGTAAGTGGAACCTTCAGGAGGAATTGAGATGTTGAGGCTACATTTATACATATCACAGTTATCTTCAATGAATGTGTAGTTATTCTGCAAAAAATGAAAGTCACATTATATCTGTTGACTCAATACAACAACATAAGTGTTACAGTACCTTCCAACACTTCAAAAGTGTTAAAATGCTATTAGATGTGGCTCCTACATCATCTATACGCCTTGCAAATGTGATGAGAACTCCAGCTATCAGCTTATGAGCTACCTTAAGATGTTATATTTGATCAGACCACGGTGCTTGCAGCTAAAGTTTGCGCTGCTCTTAGTCTAGATTCACATTCCTCGCTCACTTATAAAACTTGTACACGGATATATATGAGAAGGTAACCTTAAATACGCATACCTACTAATATTTTCCTCAAGTTTGTCCTTTACGGTTGCTAAATAAAGCGTATCAATAGCTTGAAAGGTAACCTTCTTAAATGAAAGGTCTATCTAGACAAGTCAAAGGGGCAGGAGTAAAGTTACCCATGTTTCAGCATGTATGCAGAAACATTAGCATGGTGTGATGTAACTCAATCTTGTGTACAGCTAAAGCAAAAGTCTTATTTTTGTTATAAACATCCATTTGAACAATTAAAATGCAGACCTTCCAGCCACATCCCTCACTGTGACACACTTGACATTTCAGGGCTTCAATAGTCCTAAGTTATATTCAACTGTTTTCTTGCTATCTGTTGGCTCTATGTGTCATCCGAGTGAACCCTCTGTTTATGCATTTAAGATAAACAACAATTTTTAATTTGAAGTTTTCATTTTGGAACTTACCTTAGCTTCCTTATCCCTAACAGTCACTCTGCACATGAGCAGTGAATAAATGTCTTCGATCCAAGGAAGAAGCTCCACAGATGGGAATTCAGGATGGTAAATGTCAACTATGATTTCATTACCACGCCTTGAGAGATCCAGTTTTGGTGGTCCTACTTTTCCTACAACATATTGCACCTTTGCAATTAGGCCAAAGCTTCTAACATAAAATATGTTAAAATATTTATTATTAGCATTCCAAAATTCATAGGGATTTCAGAAGAATTACATGTTTATATCACTGCTGTTAATATGGCACAGCTGTGAGACTTAGAAGTGACAGAGGCGTTTGGATACATTTATGAATCTGCTTCTAAAATGGAGAGAGATTGTGCAGAATTTCACTGCTGAGAAAACCAACTTTCCTATATGCATGGGGCCATAAAAATTCAGCTCACTGACAACAGAAAAGACTAACAAAGCAGTTCAACATATACTTATGTGAACAAGAACAGACCACAAAATACCGCTGACTAGATCCCACCATAAATTGCACTCCAGCTAAAAACAACACTGTATTGAAACAAAGGCTATCTGAAAATCAAAACACATCTCACATTGATGTGAAGAACTGATTTTTCCCAAAAGCCCAAAAGGATTTATATGAAGAATGTGTAACTGTTAGTTACCCAGCTACAGTGGACTCCCAGAGCTTCTAGATAGTACCTAGCCACTCAAAGCCATCAGTATGTGGAATTACAGTGTTAAGCAAGGCATCACTAACCACATGAATACTACTTCAATGATGTCTAAAGGTCTACAGCTTCCAGGGGTAGTTTCCTACCCTAAACTGATGTCTAGGACACCAGGCAAGAATATGGGAAGGATGCACAGTGTATACCATCAGTGTTACCTTCTTGCCTTTAGAATTTTTGAAAAAAATATTCAGATACCACAGTGAGAGGGCTAACAAGTCCCTGCTGAGGCAGAACTACAGAAGTTCCTACTGAACAACCATCAGGCTTCATTTCATCTTGCAGTCCTGACTTTATAATAGTCAGAAATGAGACACAATACTACTGTAAAAAGGATAATTACTAACTTTTTACATTTGGGGAAAAACTCCAAGGCTTAGTTTATGATGGAACTTACCATGCTTTAGCAAAATAAATTCATCTGTCTCAACATACTCAGACTGTTGTGACCCGACAATGGCTTTAACTCGAAGCCAATGAGAGGTTAAAGGATCATAAATTTCCCTTGTCACATCACAAAAAGGAGCCGAAATGTTCACACAAGTGGAGACAATCTTATAGGAACCTAGACTGTAAAAAAGATCAAGTAATTGTTAATACTATTTCAATTGCACAGTATCATACACTACATTGCTGGATTGGGCTTGCGTGGCAAGGTTTCAGCAGCAGAAGGGGCCAGGGGTGAGAAGCTTCAGTGAGAAGCTTCCAGAAGCTTCTCCTATGTCTGACAGAGCCAATGCCAGCCAGTTCCAAGACAGAACCAAGGCTGAGTGACTCCCATAGAGGTCCATGGTGGAGGAGATATCCACCTGCAGCCCATGGAGGATCCCATGCCGGAGCAGACACATGCCCTGTAGGAAGCCCACTCAAGAGCAGGCTACTGGCAGGACTTATGACACCCCATGCTGGAGCAGGGGAAGAGTGTGAGGAGTCCTTCCCCTAAGGAGGAAGGAGCAGCAGAAACAACATGTGATGAACTGATCAAAACCCCTATTCTTCATCCCCCTGTCCAGCTGAGGGAGCAATCGAGCTGTTTTGGTGGGTACCTCGTGCCCAGCCAGGGCCAACCCACCACAACTGCCTGTGACGAAACATCTGCGAGGGTGACCAAGCACTGGCACAGGCTGCCCAGGGAGGCTGTGGAGTCTCCATCCCTGGAGATATTCAAAGGCCATCTGGACATGGTCCTGTGCAACCAGCTCTAGGTGATCCTGCTCGAGCAAGGGGTTGGACCAGGTGACCTCCAGAGGTCCCTGCCAACCTCTACCATCCTGTTATTTGACAGATTTTGCCTTAATTTACACTTATGCAACTTTCACCCTACATGACTTCACCACATAGAACCAAAAGCATCTACCATGGACTGACTGCTTTTACACCCTTCTAGAGAACATCAGGTACAGGAAGTGACCAAAGAATAAGAACTTACTTGTAAGGTTTGATTTCCACAATAAAACGAGGAGTTTCAGGCATAGATGGGTACTGCCAGTGCAAGACAGTTTTGAAATTTTCAGATATTACTTCGATCTGCGTTGGTGAAGGCACTAGAAGAAATAGAACAAATGTACTTTGATAAACAGACCTAGTCACATGTAAGAGCAGACGAATATATTTCTAAATTATGTGGAAAAAGCAACATGCTAGGAGTGACAAGAAAAAAATTAGATGTAAGAATCATAAATCCCACCACCCAAATGGACTACTTTATCACCAGCAGGAAACACATGAGCCCTGCAAGCTGATTTATTAATTCTTCTCTCATACAGAGACAGCTTTCTGCCTGTTTACAACCCAGAACCCCAAATAACCCATGCCCATTGAAAGCAAGTCCATCAGATAGTCCGTATCAGGCTCATGAGTTGTGGTGATTAAACCCCTATGTTGGTATTCTACAGATACACCAGCAAGACAGACAGTATGGATTTACTAAAGTTAGAGGAGATTAAGCCCAGCTCCTGTAGATTTCTCTTGCTCTTCAGAGACTGAAGGATTCAATGTGAATTTCTGACAATGCCATTTTTACCACTCAAGCAGTATTTCTAGAAAGCCGTGATGATGATAATAAATTACTAAAATTTGTAAGGTATTCAAGCACTGAAGCTGTAATGTAGTTTCATATGCAGGAAGGCACTTGAAGTACATTTAATATAAAAAAACATCGGAGGTAGCACAGTAAGCAAGACAAAAATAGAAAGCAGGACTGATAGCTTCCTCGTACAGCAAGCTTCTATTCTAAGCAACGACAGGGACATCGGGGGAGCAACAGCAGAGGAAGAAAAACTACATGATCCTGTAACTACTGAAGGCTGTCATATGGCAAAATAAAAATAAAAAATAATTAAAAAAAAATGGGGGAGCAGCAGCAGAGGAAGAAAAACTACATGATCCCATAACTACTGAAGGCTGTCATATGGCAAAATAAAAATAAAAAATAATTAAAAAAAAAAAGAGTCACTCAACTGATTTTAATTGCTACTACTTAGCTTCTCAATGGCTGGTTTTGATCCTTAATATTCTGTTAATATAGGGGTTTTTTTGTGACAGAACTCATATTTGACCAGTTCCAGACTGCTGCTTGTTCACAAAGCAAGTGCTTCAGCTTCACTCTGATATTAAGAAAAACTTTTACAATGAAAGGGTTGTTAAGCCTTGGAATGGGCTGCCAGCTTCAGTCTGTGATATTAAGAAAAACTTTAACACTGAAAGGGTTGTTAAGCCTTGGAATGGGCTGCCCAGGGAAGTGGTTGAGGCACCATCCCTGCAGGTTTTCAAAAGTCGGGTTCACTTAGTGCTTAGAGACATAGTTTAGTGATGTGGGTTTTTTTTTTTTTTGTATAGTTTTCTTTTTTCTTTTTTTTTTTTAATCAGAGTTAAGTTGATTGTTGGACTAGACGGTCTTAAAGGTCCCTTCCAACCTAGACATTTCTATGATTCTATACATTGAGGGAAAGTAAACAATTTTCACATCTTGAGAACAAGACCACAAAGATAACACCCTACAGAAAGTAATACACAGAGGCTGAGATATGCTTTTAACCACGAAGATTTGACACACATAACATACATCGCTCTGCAAACAGTGCTGTGGTTTAGTTACGCTTTAATATGTACAAAAGTGGCACTTCAGTTATTGGAAAAAGAACACAATCATCAAATGCTCAACCACAAGAAAAAAAGGTGACAAGCTGACAGAAGAGGTGTCAAAGCACACAAACTTTACTTCAAATATTTGAATTTTAAGGCATGGTGTAGTGAGCCTTTTGCAATTTTACTTTTGCGTACTATTAAACAAGTAACACTATGCTTAATGAAAGAGTGGAAAATGAATTCCCAGAACATATTTGAACCACCACTGGAAGCTACGTGGCTTTTAATTATGCAATTCCATACCACTTTGCTTTCTCTCTCCCTCGTTCTTCCTTCCACCCCCATATTTTTGTTTTATTTTGTACATAGATAGAGTTGCTACCTTGGATTTCAAGAAAGCAAACTTTAAACTACTCAGGGAGCTACTTAGCAGTGTCCCCACAGGAATCTGCTTTTACGGCCTTAGGGGTCCATAAGCACTGGTCAGCTTTGAAGAACCACCTTTCAGAAGCACAGGAGCAGGCAATCCCATGGTGGTGTAAGATCAGCAAGGCCAGCTTGGCTGAACAGGGACCTCCTTGTGGAACTCCAGAGGTAAAAGAAATTGTATGGTATCTAGAAGCAAGGTCAGGCTTCGCAGGAAGATTATGGAGTCATGGTTCGTAGGTAGAAGACACAAAAGGCCAAAGGTGAACTAGTTGAAACTAGCCAGTGTTGTTTGGGATAACAAGAGCTTTCTTAAATACGTTAATAGGAAGTGGAGGTCTAAGGAAAATATTAGACTAATACTCATTGAAGATAGTCATCTGACTCATAGGGATGAAGAAAAAACCAGAGGCATTCCATGAGGTTTTTTTGCCTAATACTGATAGATCTTGCTTGGTACAACCAGTCCGACCTGAGCCCCGGAGTGGACCTCAAGTGCAAGAAGAGTGACCTACTATTTGTGGACACTGAAATTGTAAGGGGACAGCTGTATCAGCTGCATGTTCACAAATTCATGAGGCCTGATGGAATTCACCCCAGAGCACGGAAGATGTTAGAGTAGGACCTCTCTTGATCATCTACCAAAGGTGTGAGGAAGTCCCTGCCAACACTATTCCAATTTACAAGGTGGCCATGAGGGAAGACGCAGGAAATTACAGACCTCTTAGTCTAACCTCAGTAAATTATGGAGAAGACCATACTGGGTGCTATTGAAAAACATTTGAAGAACAATACAATTATCAGGCACAAAGGGAAAGTCCTGTTCAAATTCATATCTTTCTCTGATAAGGTCACCCACGACAGATTGGTCTAGTTGCTCCTCCACAGCTCCATGAAAGATTACTCAACCTAATTCTCTGCTCTTCCATCCAGAGATGAATTTTAACATCATGCTTCAGCTCTGAGACTACAAAGTAACTAGCAGAAAACAAGCTTTCCTCATGAAAGGACAACTTTCTTCACAAACTATACCCCCATATAAACCAGCCACAAAGAACGCGACCACCAAACATGTAGTGCCATTGAAGATCTCAACAAGTTGGCCTTGATCACTTAGAGGTACAAGTTTACAAATACCATTAGCTCATCCTCTTCATCATCACTTTTAATAACTTTGCTTTCAGCGATCAAGTTAGTCAAGCACTAACCCCCCCCTCTGATGTTTCACTCCACATCCTCAAGACAAACCTAAAGGACACCTTTCAGCATGAGCCAAAAAGCTAAGAGTCATAACTCTACTTACAAACAAAAGTCAGTAAAGAAATATGTTTATAGCGCACCTACTCTCACCTTATTAATGTCTCCATGTTTCAAGAATTATCTTCCTCTCTTTTTCTAAGGGATGACACTTTATTACCCCTTCTACCACTTCCCTCCTTCTCTGCAGGCATCAGGCATCTTGTCTCTCAAGTGGGCTAATGGATACATAGTAAAGTCAAATGTAAATGGTTCTCACCTTGTGTTTATTTTTGAGGTTTGCTGGTTTGACTTTAAAGCCAAAAAAAGCCTGAAAGCTCATCTCCTTTCCCTAATTAAACTGGTTATTTTCATGGAAGACTATCTTTACCTTCAAACCTTGCCTAACCAATTTGAGCGACCAAGGACTTTTTTCTTCAGGTCATTTAACAACAACACACAGAAACTTGGTGCAAGTGACAGCAGCTTAAGATGCAGAAGCAAGTGCTCAGCACAGCAACAGTTCACAGAATCACATGGGGTTGGAAGGGACCTCTGGAGCCCATTTAGTCCAAAGGACCTCAAAACAGGCACAGAAAACGGATCAGCTTGTGATCACCCATGGAAAGTTTACTTTTAATGCCTTGGTCAGGCAATTCTAGTTTCTTTTTTCAGGTTTGTTATCTCCCCTGCGTGTTCCTCGCCAACCAATCGTCCATCCCACAGCCCCTTTACTCAGGCTGGTGATCCGACTTCTAATGGTTTCTCCTCCAGCCAGTGCTTAGACAGAGCCCTGGGACACCCCAGCCTCATCTCACTCCAGCATCACAGCTACATCCCATAGAGAGCATTGCAGATTATCAAAGTGCCAGCCTCTGATCTTCATAAATGTTATTTCTGCATATTGCCAGTTAAAATGCCGTAATGCTTTCTGTGAATGCTGTTTTACTTAACCCAAACTTAAGCATTCATTTTTCCAACACATTACACACCCTGTTCTACGTTGCTCAGCAGGCACAACTGAAGGAAGATGATGGTGGCTACTGCAGCAATGGTAATCTTTAAACAGAAGACTCCTTCTAGTTTATAATAAACACAAATGCAGCAACACTCAAGGTGCAAATTCAAACAGTGAGAAACCAAGCGTGGAAAAAGTGAGAGAAGAAAAATCATGTTGCCATGTGTGATAGAGGCCACTTGGCAAGTTCTTGTCTGGTTCAAATGCAGTGATTTCCACCTGCAGTTTGCTCCATTCACTTTGCCTTGTGAAACAGCAATCCTGGCTGGCAGACAGGCAACAGAGATGTCAGCAAGAACAATTTTTTCACATAAACAACAGAAATTGAATTATATAGGTACATCGTGGGACCACATAAGAAGAGCTTCAGACAGCAGCTCTATGTGCAGAGAATAAAGGAATAAAAGACAAAGGTAGGCCAGTCAGATTTACAGTTCTTTTTAAGAGTGCTAGAAGAAACTAAGCATGCCTCGTGATTTTGAGGATAAAATTCTGTAATGTTAGGAAGTATAAAGGTAGGAGTAAAAGCAAACACAAACATGATCACAGGGTCACCCAGAAGTTAAACACTGAATAGAGAACAGATGTGGGAATGCAACCACACAATTTATCTCAGCAAACTCACACCTGCATCAGTTTATAACCAACATAAATATTCATGTTTATTTGTTCCAATACAAACAACCCAGACAAACGATAGCTGCCATGTCAGTGGCAAAGACCTCAGCAGGTGTGACTACTGCAGTAAGTGTGTATATATAGAGAGATATAACCAAA